CGTGGGAGGTGGCTGTTCTGTGTGAGGCTGGGCTGCGTGTCTGTTCTGAAGGACCTCCCTGACCTGTGAGGTTCTAGTGGGGAATTTGTCTCTCCTTGGTCCTGTGTCTGCCTGGCAGGGCCTGTCCCCGTCAGGTGTCCCTCTGAGGAGTCCCCAGCCCGGCTGTCTGCTCTGATATCTCTCCTTGGACCTGAGTGTCCTGACCCCTGTCTTGTCCGGGGCATCCCGCCTGTCCTGGAGCAGGTGGAGGGAGCCCGCTCCCTGGGGCCCCCTCGTCAGAGGAGATGCTCCCTCCATCCTGTGCCCCTCATCCGTCCAGCCTCCTCCTCCTTCTCTCCAAGCCCTGAGACCGAGGGCTCCCCTCCCTCGCCCCTCGCTGGCCCCGACAGATCCCAGAGAAGGCTGAAGCCAAGACCGCTGAGCCTTTCCGAGCATCCTTCCCACATCCCGTGGCTCCCGTGGCCCAGCCAGAGCCCCCTGTGTCCAGGCCCCCGGGGCCAGAGGCCGCAAGGGAGCAGAACATGGAGGGTCCAGAGGAGAACAGGCCCTGAGAGTGAGGCCGGGGTCTCAGGGAGGAGGAGGAGCAGGGGCAGGAAGGGGTCAGTGGGATGGAGCCCTCCTGCCAGACAAAGTGCCCGACGAGAGGGAACAGCCTAGACGGGGTGGAGTGGCCAGAGCAAAGGGTGAAGGTGGAGTCATCCAAAGGGGTCGAGACCCCAGCCCCAGTCAGGACAGAAAGGACAGAAAAGTCCAGCCCGAGTTCGCTGCCAACACCGGAGAGGAGGGAGAGGGGGAGACTCACCTGCGATGGTCAGGTGGGTGCCTCCGCCGAATGCACCACACAGTGACACAGCCTCGAACAAAAAGCTCCTGGCACCCACTTCCCCAGGCCCCCTGCAGCTGCACGGGAGGCCCAGAGTCCAGCCTCCTTGTCATGGGGGCTGGTCGCCTGATGGGAGGCTGGGAGTTGGGCCCCCTCCCCACCTGCAACTGTCCCCGTCGGGGTGGGGTGCCATCCATGCCCAGTCATGCCGGGTCAGGCAGGAACGTGGGAGAGTCTCCTCATATCCCAGGAACCCTCCATTCCTGAGAGGAGCTGTGTGTCACTGGCTCGGCTTGTTTCGGGAAGGTCATAGTGGCAGGAGTGAGAAAGGCCGTGTACCTCCCAGGGATGGTGGCGCCTGTGCACTCTGCAGAGCTGAGCTCTTGGGAGGATTCTGGAAGCCACCGAGGCCTAGAGACGTGCCCAACATGGCCACGTTTGCAAGAGGTGGTGTGCGTGTGTGTGTGTGTGTGTGAGTGAGTGTGTGTGTGTGTGTGTGTGTGTGTTCATGCTGGTTTTGTTAGCCAGCTCCTATGAGCGTGTGTTTGTGAGTGTGTGTGTGTCTAGTGTGTCTGTCTCTCTGGTAACTCTGATCCCGCATTCCGTGCTGCCTCCTAGGCCTGGAGTCTGTTTAGTCTCAGACCCAGTTCAGAGCTCCCAGGAACAGGAGTCACTGCACAGACATACCCCTGGCTGAATCCTCGAATCTGGCTATTGATTCTTGAGTTCGAATTGAAGAGGCCCATGGAACAGCCATGGACACAGGCCCTGAGTGCTTGTGGGTTATTGTTGAGCTGGCCTCTGAGAAGTTCGAGAGAGCAGAGCTGGCCTGTGGCACACAGCTCTGGGACATGAGTGACACACGAGGAAGGAGGAGACCCCAGGAGGAGTGTGGGAGCGAGTGAGCGGGTACCAGGGAGCGAGGGTTCTGTGGAGATTGTGACAGGGATGGTCTGGGGGAGGGGGCACAGGGCAGTCTCCCTGGGGAGGCCGGAAAATGAGGATGGCCCTGAGGAAGGGGACACGGTGTAGACTGTGAGGACAGGGAATTGCCAGGATGAGGGCTGGACCAAAGGACCCATGGAATTGGGGTGGGGGGCCTTCCTCTAAGGGACAAAGGGGCTCTTGAGGAGGAACGGCCTCCTTAAGGAGAAGGCTGAAGCTTTTAGGGCAGGAGCTGAGGCGAGGCTCGGGAGGCTGTGGGAAGCGACGAGCCTGTGGCCAGGCCAAGCCCAGGTCGACATGGTCCCCACGAGGGTAGGAAGCACGGTGGCGGCTGGCCAGGGCGGGCAGGCGTGCTTTCCTGCCGTGGCCCGACTCCCCTGTGCTAGCATGTTCCCTGGGGGCTTCTGGGTGACCGTGAAAACATCCCACCAGAAACCATCAGGAATGCCCCCTCCAGCCTTCCAGAACAAAGGAACTGGTTCACCTTTGGGGGTGAGTGAAATGAGCAGAACGCAGTGAACAAGCAGCAAGGAGCAGAGCACGATGTCTGATTGAGAAGGAGGATGTTTTATTGAGAAGGATTTGGGCGGAGGGAGAAGGAGGTGTCGGAGTGGGAAGGGTCGACCCCCTTAGGGGTCCCGTGACAGCAGGTCCCTGAGGGTGTGGGCGACTCGGGGACCTAAGGACACTCTGAGGGGGACAGTTTCTTCTCCACGGTTTTCCCTTGGTGCTTGACCTGGCAGCTGACGCTGCTGTACGATTTCCACTGTGCGGAAGTCCGCGTCAGGTAGCTGCTGGCCGCGTACTTGCCGTTGCTCTGTTTCGAGGCCTGGTGGTCTGGACGCCGTCGTGGTGACAGCGTCATTTACCTTCCAGATCACCTCCAGCCGCTGGGGGAGAAGTCACTGATGAGACACACCACTGTGGCCTTGTTGGCGCTGAGCTCCTCAGAGGAGGGCGGGAAGAGAGAGACCGAGGGTGAGACGTGGGACCACCTGCAGGATGGGAGAGGGGCAGGAGGTCAGAGGTCTGGGGTCCATGACGGGAGGTCCTGACCTCAGCCACGATGTGGGCTACCAGTCCCTGAAGGCCAGGGTCTGGGCCTCAGGCTGGCCCTTGTTCCCTGAGGTCAGGTCGGTGATGGGTGGGGCCACTCACCTCCTGTTGGGAGAACTCAGGGCCTGAGTCTAGGCCGTTCTGGGCTCCTCTCAGGGCGCCACGTCTCCCTCAGGTTCACATGCCTCTAAGCCACCATCCCACCCTCTGCTCCCTGGCGCTGGCTGCCATCAGCCTTAAGGTGTCCTGTTTCCTTTGGCAATCTTTCTGTCCTGTGCATCTGTCTGTGTGAGGTCTGCTCCCAGGGCCCCGTCCCCAGTGTCCTCCTACAGGATGTCTGTGTGTCCTGGGTTGTGGCTCTCCTTCCTTTCACGGAGGGGATTCTTGCCCAGAGTCCCCGTGAGAGCATCGTTGCAGCCGCCACCCTCTCCCCACAGAGAGCCGCCTAGGGCTGCGGGGCGTGGAGGGGGTGTCGGCCCCGGGGCTGGATTGCAGGGCCCCCAGGAGATGCGGGTTTCCATGGGAGGTGGCTGTTCTGTGTGAGGCTGGGGCTGCGTCTGTTCTGAAGGACCTCCTGACCTGTGAGGTTCTAGTGGGGAATTTGTCTCTCCTTGGTCCTGTGTCTGCCTGGCAGGGCCTGTCCCCGTCAGGTGTCCCTCTGAGGAGTCCCCAGCCCGGCTGTCTGCTCTGATATCTCTCCTTGGACCTGAGTGTCCGACCCCTGTCTGTCCGGGGCATCCCGCCTGTCCTGGAGCAGGTGGAGGGAGCCCGCTCCCTGGGGCCCCTCGTCAGAGGAGATGCTCCCTCCATCCTGTGCCCCTCATCCGTCCAGCCTCCTCCTCCTTCTCTCCAAGCCCTGAGACCGAGGGCTCCCCTCCCTCGCCCCTCGCTGGCCCCGACAGATCCCAGAGAAGGCTGAAGCCAAGACCGCTGAGCCTTTCCGAGCATCCTTCCCACATCCCGTGGCTCCCGTGGCCCAGCCAGAGCCCCCTGTGTCCAGGCCCCCGGGGCCAGAGGCCGCAAGGGAGCAGAACATGGAGGGTCCAGAGGAGAACAGGCCCTGAGAGTGAGGCCGGGGTCTCAGGGAGGAGGAGGAGCAGGGGCAGGAAGGGGTCAGTGGGATGGAGCCCTCCTGCCAGACAAAGTGCCCGACGAGAGGGAACAGCCTAGACGGGGTGGAGTGGCCAGAGCAAAGGGTGAAGGTGGAGTCATCCAAAGGGGTCGAGACCCCAGCCCCAGTCAGGACAGAAAGGACAGAAAAGTCCAGCCCGAGTTCGCTGCCAACACCGGAGAGGAGGGAGAGGGGGAGACTCACCTGCGATGGTCAGGTGGGTGCCTCCGCCGAATGCACCACACAGTGACACAGCCTCGAACAAAAAGCTCCTGGCACCCACTTCCCCAGGCCCCCTGCAGCTGCACGGGAGGCCCAGAGTCCAGCCTCCTTGTCATGGGGGCTGTCGCCGATGGGAGGGTGGGAGTGGGCCCCCTCCCCACCTGCAACTGTCCCCGTCGGGTGGTGGTGCCATCCATGCCCAGTCATGCCGGGTCAGGCAGGAACGTGGGAGGTCTCCTCATATCCATGGAACCCTCCATTCCTGAGAGGAGCTGTGTGTCCTGGCTCGGCTTGTTTCGGGAAGGTCATAGTGGCAGGAGTGAGAAAGGCCGTGTACCTCCAGGGATGGTGCAGCCTGTGCACTCTGCAGAGCTGAGCCTGGGAGGATTCTGGAAGCCACCGAGGCCTAGAGACGTGCCCAACATGGCCCGTTTGCAAGAGGTGTGCGTGTGTGTGTGTGTGTGTGTGAGTGAGTGTGTGTGTGTGTGTGTGTGTGTGTGTTCATGCTGGTTTTGTTAGCCAGCTCCTATGAGCGTGTGTTTGTGAGTGTGTGTGTGTCTAGTGTGTCTGTCTCTCTGGTAACTCTGATCCCGCATTCCGTGCTGCCTCCTAGGCCTGGAGTCTGTTTAGTCTCAGACCCAGTTCAGAGCTCCAGGAACAGGAGTCACTGCACAGACATACCCTGGCTGAATCCTCGAATCTGGCTATTGATTCTTGAGTTCGAATTGAAGAGGCCATGGAACAGCCATGGACACAGGCCCTGAGTGCTTGTGGGTTATTGTTGAGCTGGCCTCTGAGAAGTTCGAGAGAGCAGAGCTGGCCTGTGGCACACAGCTCTGGGACATGAGTGACACACGAGGAAGGAGGAGACCCCAGGAGGAGTGTGGGAGCGAGTGAGCGGGTACCAGGGAGCGAGGTCTGTAGAGATTGTGACAGGATGGTCTGGGGGAGGGGCACAGGGCAGTCTCCCTGGGGAGGCCGGAAAATGAGGATGGCCCTGAGGAAGGGGACACGGTGTAGACTGTGAGGACAGGAATTGCCAGGATGAGGGCTGGACCAAAGGACCCATGGAATTGGGGTGGGGGGCCTTCCTCTAAGGGACAAAGGGCTCTTGAGGAGGAACGGCCTCCTTAAGGAGAAGGCTGAAGCTTTTAGGGCAGGAGCTGAGGCGAGGCTCGGGAGGCTGTGGGAAGCGACGAGCCTGTGGCCAGGCCAAGCCAGGTCGACATGGTCCCCACGAGGGTAGGAAGCACGGTGGCGGCTGGCCAGGGCGGGCAGGCGTGCTTTCCTGCCGTGGCCCGACTCCCTGTGCTAGCATGTTCCCTGGGGCTTCTGGGTGACCGTGAAAACATCCCACCAGAAACCATCAGGAATGCCCCTCCAGCCTTCCAGAACAAAGGAACTGGTTCACCTTTGGGGGTGAGTGAAATGAGCAGAACGCAGTGAACAAGCAGCAAGGAGCAGAGCACGATGTCTGATTGAGAAGGAGGATGTTTTATTGAGAAGGATTTGGGCGGAGGGAGAAGGAGGTGTCGGAGTGGAAGGGTCGACCCCTTAGGGGTCCCGTGACAGCAGGTCCCTGAGGGTGTGGGCGACTCGGGGACCTAAGGACACTCTGAGGGGACAGTTTCTTCTCCACGGTTTTCCCTTGGTGCTTGACCTGGCAGCTGACGCTGCTGTACGATTTCCACTGTGCGGAGTCCGCGTCAGGTAGCTGCTGGCCGCGTACTTGCCGTTGCTCTGTTTCGGACCTGGTGGTCTGGACGCCGTCGGTGGTGACAGCGTCATTTACCTTCCAGATCACCTCCAGGCCGCTGGGGGAGAAGTCACTGATGAGACACACCACTGTGGCCTTGTTGGCGCTGAGCTCCTCAGAGGAGGGCGGGAAGAGAGAGACGAGGTGTAGACGTGGGACCACCTGCAGGATGGGAGAGGGGCAGGAGGTCAGAGGTCTGGGGTCCATGACGGGAGGTCCTGACCTCAGCCACGATGTGGGCTACCAGTCCCTGAAGGCCAGGGTCTGGGCCTCAGGCTGGCCCTTGTTCCCTGAGGTCAGGTCGGTGATGGGTGGGGCCACTCACCTCCTGTTGGGAGAACCTCAGGGCCTGAGTCTAGGCCGTTCTGGGCTCCTCTCAGGGCGCCACGTCTCCCTCAGGTTCACATGCCTCCTAAGCCACCATCCCACCCTCTGCTCCCTGGCGCTGGCTGCCATCAGCCTTAAGGTGTCCTGTTTCCTTTGGCAATCTTTCTGTCCTGTGCATCTGTCTGTGTGAGGTCTGCTCCCAGGGCCCCTCCCAGTGTCCTCCTACAGGATGTCTGTGTGTCCTGGGTTGTGGCTCTCCTTCCTTTCACGGAGGGATTCTTGCCCAGAGTCCCCGTGAGAGCATCGTTGCAGCCGCCACCCTCTCCCCACAGAGAGCCGCCTAGGGCTGCGGGGCGTGGAGGGGGTGTCGGCCCCGGGGCTGGATTGCAGGGCCCCCAGGAGATGCGGGGTTTCCGTGGGAGGTGGCTGTTCTGTGTGAGGCTGGGGCTGTGTCTGTTCTGAAGGACCTCCTGACCTGTGAGGTTCTAGTGGGGAATTTGTCTCTCCTTGGTCCTGTGTCTGCCTGGCAGGGCCTGTCCCCGTCAGGTGTCCCTCTGAGGAGTCCCAGCCCGGCTGTCTGCTCTGACCCCTCGCTGGCCCCGACAGATCCCAGAGAAGGCTGAAGCCAAGACCGCTGAGCCTTTCCGAGCATCCTTCCCACATCCCGTGGCTCCCGTGGCCCAGCCAGAGCCCCCTGTGTCCAGGCCCCCGGGGCCAGAGGCCGCAAGGGAGCAGAACATGGAGGGTCCAGAGGAGAACAGGCCCTGAGAGTGAGGCCGGGGTCTCAGGGAGGAGGAGGAGCAGGGGCAGGAAGGGGTCAGTGGGATGGAGCCCTCCTGCCAGACAAAGTGCCCGACGAGAGGGAACAGCCTAGACGGGGTGGAGTGGCCAGAGCAAAGGGTGAAGGTGGAGTCATCCAAAGGGGTCGAGACCCCAGCCCCAGTCAGGACAGAAAGGACAGAAAAGTCCAGCCCGAGTTCGCTGCCAACACCGGAGAGGAGGGAGAGGGGGAGACTCACCTGCGATGGTCAGGTGGGTGCCTCCGCCGAATACAGCACACAGTGACACAGCCTCGAACAAAAAGCTCCTGGCACCCACTTCCCCAGGCCCCCTGCAGCTGCACGGGAGGCCCAGAGTCCAGCCTCCTTGTCATGGGGGCTCGTCACCAGATGGGAGGGTGGGAGGGGGGCCCCCTCCCCACCTGCAACTGTCCCACGTTGGGTGTGTGGTGCCATCCATGCCCAGTCTTGCCAGGTCAGGCGGGAATGTGTAGGGTCTCCTCATATCCATGGCAACCTCCATTCCTGAGAGGAGCTGTGTGTCCCTGCCTCGGCTTGTTTGGGGAAGGTCATAGTGCCAGGAACGAGCAAGTCTGTGTACTTCACAGGGATGAGTCAGCCTGTGCGCATTACAGAGGTGAGCCCTGGTAGGATTCTGGAAGCCACCGAGGCCTAGAGATGTGCCCAACATCGCCTCGTTTGCAATAGGTGTTACATGTGTGTTTGTTTGCGTGTGTATCTAATCTGTCTGTGTGTCCCATGACTCTGTTTCTTCGTAAGTGTTGGCTTCTAGACTTGTTATTTATCTGGTGTCAACCTCATTTGTAGGTCCTACGAGGATGAGTCAGTTCACAGATACACCCATGGCTTAATCCTAGAATCTGGTTCCTTACTTTCAATTCAGGAGTCCCATCAAACACTCATCCCAGGCTTTTAGCTCTGTGGGTCAGGGGTGGCCTGGCCTATCAGGGATTAGAGAGAGCAGAGGTGGTATTGTCTCAGGAGTCCTGAAGACAGCTGGCACCCCTCTGACTCATGTGGGAGGAGGAGACAACAGACAGAGTGTGAGAATGTGAGCAGGGTTCAGGGTGTGTGGGTCCTGTGTTGAGAGTGACAGGGAGGGTTTAGAGAGGGGGCACAGGGCAGTGCCCATGGGAGGCAGGAGCAGGGCAGGCACCTGAGGAAGGGAGGATGCTCTAGGCTGTGAAGACGTGTAACTGCCCGTGTGGGCAGTGAACAAAAGACACATGGAACTGGTGGGGACCTTCATCTAATGGAGAAAGGGACCCTTGAGGAGGAACCCCATCTAGAATGAGATCTTTGAAGATTCCAGGGAAGGGAGCTCAGACATCCTCCAGGAGGCCATGGGAACCAAAAAGAGTGATAGTTGGACAATCAGAGATAGACAAGATCCCCACGAGAGTAGGAAGTAAAAGTGGGGGTTGGGGAGAGTGGGGCAGGCTTCCTTTCCTGCAGTGGTCCCAATCTACCTTGCTAGAATGTTCTCTGGGGGTGTCTCAGTAACAGTGACATCATCCCTCAAGAAAGCACCAAGACTCCCTACTCTATCTTGCTTTCCCAAAGACCAAAAGGATTCTGTATGCCCTTGAGAGTGATTGAATTTAGGACAGAAAATGTGTCAACGAAAATGAGCAGAGAGCATGATTTCTGACTGACAATGAGACGTTTTATTGAAAGTTGATTGAGCAGAGTGAAAAGGACTGGGGATGACCAGGGTGGGAGGGAAGGCACTCTTGAGGTCCAGTGGCTCCGTATCGCTGAGGATGGGGGAGGGTCAAGGACCTAAGCACACTCTGAGGGGGACACTTTCTTCTCCACGGTGCGCCCTTCGTGCGTGACCTGGCAGCTGATACTGCTGTATGATTTCCACTGGGCAGGGGTCAGCGTCAGGTAGCTGCTGGCAGTGTAATTGTTGCTGCTCTCTTTCGAAGGCTTGGTGGTCTGGATGCCCTGGGTGATGGTGACGTCATTTCCCTTCCAGCTCACCATCAAGCCGCTGGGGGAGAAGTCACTGATGAGACACACCACTGTGGCCTTGCTGGCACTGAGCTCCTCAGCGGAGGGCGGGAAGAGAGTGACTGAGAGTGGAGACTTGGGACCACCTGCAGGGTGGGACAAGGACAGGGCAGCACTGGCTC